AACACTACTGCAGGTTTTTTTATATTTAAGTAAAAGCTTATTTTTTTTATTTTTAAGTTAGTAAGGCACCTTGTAAACCAAGGAGGATTTGTTGAAGCGGACGGATATTTCCAAGGCACACATGAGTCAAAAAATTTATTTAAAGTAAAATAAAATTTTTCTAAAGTGACATTAAGATCAGTGCACGCCAGAATATCAGACCAGTCAAATGTATCAATAAGGCTATTAAGTTTCTGAAAATCAGCTTTACGGAAACAGCGAATCTTATTTACCATGCTCGGAGACATCTGATCGATACCAGGAGTGGTTTCGATTGAGACCTCCAGTGTGGGGTGATATGGATCCTCTGGGGATGAAAGGGGAAAAGCTCTGGGGAGAGCAGTACCATCAGGATCAGATACAAAACACAAGTCTAAAAGCCGACCTAGCGAATTTCTAACATGATTGATCTGACCTAGGGACATGTCAAACATGCCCGCGGTGAAGTCATGGTAAGTTATAAGTGACAAAGATGGTGAGTTATCGACGTTGGACCACTTTAATTCTGGGATATTAAAGTCGCCCACCGCTACGAGTTGGTCACGATCCGTCATAAGATTAGAGACGTATCGAATAGCGGACAAATGCTGCCAATATGTAGGCGGTTCAGACGTAGGAGGTACATATGAACATGTAATGTATAAAGCTTTAACGGACATAGTGATTTTAACGCAAATAAATTCTATGTCACCAAACTCATGGGATTTCACCTCTTCAGAAGCAAGAGTAGAGTCTACCGAAATGAGGACTCCACCTCCTCTTCGCTGAGATCGATCCCGTCTAAAAGTGGTGTACTTACTTGGAAAAACTTCGGAGCTAAAGATCTCCGGATTTAACCAAGTTTCTGTAAATGCTATTATATGGGATGCAAAGAAAGAACTATCAGAATATAGCTTGGGGAGTTTGCTACGTAGCCCCCTAGTATTCTGATAGGTAAGAGTTAATGAGGAAACTAGTTTTTTGGGTTAGTAGCCAAAGAAGAGGTGGAGGGTTGGTCAGTGGTTCCGATATTAGGAAGTCTCACTCTCTTGGACGAAAAGATTCTCTGGCCAAAAACTGGGAGAACAAATCGTCTTGAACATCAGCGCGGGCACACGAATCTTGAAAGAAGACGTGCGCCGTGTATAATTATATTTAAATTTAGTTATGTCCTCCACCTTTATATCGGCTTTTGTTTTGGCTTTGATATAAGCCGAGATATCAATCTCTGAAGTATCAGGGGCAAGCCGAGAAACAAATATATGTTTCGATGGAGGAATCACCTGTAAGGGTTTTGGTGTCGCAGGTACGAGCACTGCAGCATCAGTCGGTGCCGGTGGTCCGGACTGTGGAATACCCTTTTGGGTGACTCTAATGGGGGTTTCGTTCCCTAGGACCTGTGGCATCACTTGAAGGGATGCCATGGCGGACATATCGGACAATTGCTCATTATCCCTGAGAAATTCGGACGAATTTTTCTCAGTTCTAGCCCTTGGGGTGGCCAGAGATATAAGCGGCTGCATTAATGTCGGCTGAGCAGGCTGAGGCGGATCAGAAACAGCGGATTTCTTACGCTTAGGGGACTCATTTAGCAGCTGAAGGCCACTAAACTAAGTGTCCAGCGCACAGAGCTGTTCATTGATTTTACGAAAACCAGTGATCATTTTTGGTCTGTCTCATGAACGACCTCATTTCGCCTTGCACAGCACGACAATTCTCACAACAATAATGTATCCCAGACCTACGGGAAATGGCATCCGAAACTGATGCAGTGAAACCGGCACACTTGGCGTGCACGACGTTTTCACATAACCAGCAATGGATGCTAGGCTGGGATGTGGAAATTGTCTTGTTACAAGACTTAATGGCACAGACCAGTTAAAATTCCATTTTATTTATTTATTTTTTTTTTATTTAATAAAACAAAAATTAATATTTAAAAAGTTAAAAAACACAATACCTTGAACCACTGTGCCAAACAAGAAGCCGAAGCGGGAGCTTTGAAAGAGTGCAAAAGAGAAATGCAGAAATATAGATAAGCCGGGGAAGAAGCAGAGCTGAGCTATGCTTGGAATGGAATTTAGGCAAATTATTAATTCGACTTCAAATATACCACAGCACTCGCGAAGCGATACGGTTTAGGCTTTAAGATTGTTAAGATTCACAAGATTTAATTCACAAGTATGTAAACACCGGTTTACCAATATTTTTAATAAAACGCAGTGCGCACAAAAAAAACACGACCGTTCGCTTGAAAGAAAGAGAGAGAGAGAGATCATCTTAATTCTTAAGTATATGCGTATCTTTAAATACAATTTTTTTATGTTTACACTTATATCGACCTGCTCAGCGTCGTTTAACAATGTCAGTTTTAAATTTTAAGTTTTAAAAAACTAAAAAAAAAAAAAAACTTTACGCCTAGCATGTGCTTGCGACAAGAACTGCAAAAAGTCATTTTTTTGCTTGTCCACTTAAAGGTTAAAGTTTTCAAAACGAAATCTCCTTTCAGTTTGACAGTTTGAAATTAAGGTACCAAAACCCGAACAATTTGTCAGCCGAATGGACTACCTTGTATAATTGTATCATGATCGGACCAATCATATGTATCGACAAGGCTATTAAATTTGTGAAAATCTTTCACTTTTCACGTTTACACTTTTGTTCGTTTATTTTAATGCGCCAGTCGGACAGCCACCTTTCCACTACTATTAGATGATTAGCCAGTTGGGTTGATGCTTGCGAAAACTCTGAAGCTGTCTTTATAAATATTAAGAAATCGTTTGATCGGGTACGACACGACGGTCTTTTATCCAAGGTGAAGATGAGTCTGCAGCAAATTTGGTTATGTCACATTTGCAACAAGGCCCAAGATCTGCACTGGAATTTCAAGGCTCGGTACCACGACACGAAAATACCTCGGGGTCATTTTAGACAAGAGTCATAATTTTCAAACATTCGAAAATCCGATGTCACATGTGTGACAGCGGCCGAACTCCATATAAAAAAACGGTGTGAAAAAAGGAAGAAGAAGAAATTTTTTGATTTTGACCCAGTTTTCTTTTTCTTAATCAGCTCCTTAGCGGCGAAATACATAAAGAAAACACCAAAATCCAATCGGCTTGAATTCATTTTTGCTTATTTTTTTGTTTACAAACAAACAACACAACGACGACGAAAATTCGCTGTCACCCGTGTGCTAGCGAAATCGCTCTTTATTTGGCTACCGAGCTAGTGGGACGAAAAAAATTAAGGAAAAGGGTAATACTGAACAGCTGTTCTCTTTCTCTCTCTCTAATATTTCTCTTTAAATTTTCGCTCCATGTTTTGGCTGTCAAAATAAATCAAATGAATTCTTTTTACACCCCGAGATCAGCTGTTTACTTTTTCCGTAAAAAAAATTAGAAACAAAATTGAACTCCGTGGGTATACAATAGTTCATGCCAAACCCCATAGCTCTATACCATATCTAATCGCCTGTGAGATCCACGCATTTATAGGAAAAGACCCGTTTAAAGATTCGACTATTAATGCTGATCAAAAATATATGTATATAAGTTAACACGCTTATCCAGCAACAACAAAGTTGCCAAGCTGATGCCACTTGTTCTCGAAAATAATGAAAGGTCGGCGTCACCCACAAATATTGCACGACGACATTGCCATGACATTAAATAAAATTGTTAAGAAAATATTGTTTTACGAACAATAATAAATTTAAGAAAACTATTTCGTTCTTTCCATATATCCAAAATTAAAACACCGTAAGATTTACTTATTTCAATTAGAAAAAAATGCATCCATAAGAAAATGTTTGGGGAAAAATTAAAGCATAAAAATAAATATGGGCATTTCCTGTGGTCGCAAACCTACGTTCGTCGCAATTAGTGCCAAAAAATTAAAGAAAAAAACATTTTTTGATACTTTTTTTTTTTGTTTCCGATAGCATTTGGTGAGTTCTTCCACCTGCTTTCACTTAATGCGAAGCAATTACAATAAAATTATGTTTTGGGTTGCGAACTTACGATTACAGTTAAAAATCATAGTTAAAAATCACATATATTTATTTGATTTTAACATAGTTAAAAATCAAAATACAAATTAAGAGGTAATTGAACATTTTTTCGCCCTCTTTGAATTTTTCTCGTCTTATTAGATTGTTATTAAGAGATTCAGTACAAAAAGAGCAAACACATCATATGTTTTCCTTGAGAAATAAATAAACATAAAAATGTCCTTAAATTTAAAAAAAAAAAAAAAAAAAATTTCACTTTTCGGGGTTTTTTTTTTTTTTAAAAAAAGCTGAAATATGCTATGAATCCAATAGATTATGAAAATTTGCACATTTATTTATGAAAATACAAAAATAGAATCGAGTAATATTTTTTTTCGGTCCTGGTTGACCATCTGCCGGAATAGACATATGTAAAATCGGAGATTTCAACTTTGGATGAGTATTCCAAAACTATGGCTAGATGCCATTTTTATTTATTATTGTATTAAAAATGATACGTACCGAAAACAATGATGGTCAACGCAATTACACGGTCTACATATTTTAATATATGGTACAATTTTTGTCAATTTCTTTTTTTTAGGTGTAAGGCGAAACTGTGAGTGATGGAATCAAACATAGATTATTATGGACTTTGGTTCAGGGGAGCCTAAAGTTTATGGAGCAGGTGAAATTATGCGTGGAGATTTTATGATGCCTGCGTATTTAATCGAATTTTAAAAATAAACGGTGACTGTCGTTGCCTCGCTAAGCTCGCTTCTTATTCGCGCAGTAACGCGCGTCTTAAATAAATCTGGCAAATGGATATAATTAACTTATACTTTATGGGTTCGTAGATGATACCTTCTCTATTTAACATAAATTCACACGAATACAATGTACCCTTGTACTCCACCGGTATTGAGTATTGAAAATCAAAAACATGTTTATTAATTTGTAGCCCTTTTGAATGCTTAATAAAACATAATAATTAAACATATATTTATTTTATTTCATTACAGGCTAAACAATAGTCTTCTTAGGAATGGATAATAAATAAAAACCTAAGCCAAAAACAACAACGTTACAAACGCAAAATAAATACATCCATATGCGGAAATCGAAATTTTTTAATACAAACTAGTCTTTTTCATAATACGCAAAAATTCTTCCTGGTTTACTTCGCCGTCGTTATCCAGGTCAGCTTCGTCAATCATTTCTCGCAACTCCTCATCAGACAAAGTTTCACCAAGTTCGCGTGCCACCCGCTTAAGGTTTTTAAATGAAATCTTTCCAGTCTCGTCGTCATCAAATAACCGAAACGCTTTTAAAATCTCTTCTTTTGTGTCCTTTTCAGCCATTTTTACGGTCATTAAGTGCAGGAAATCATTAAAGGTTAGACGTCCACTCCCATCCTTATCTATTTCAGCAATCATACGCTTAATTTCCTCTTTTTTAGGCTCAAATCCTAGTGCCCGTATAGCGACCTTCAGCTCCTTTACCTCTATAAATCCGGAGCACTCATTATCAAACAAATCAAAAGCTTCCTTAATATCAGATTTTTGTGCTTCTGATAATTCAAATTTAGGTCCAGACTTTTTCCGACCCTGCTGGGTGCTGCGCTTAGTGTTCGCGGCGGCTGTTGGAGCGTTGGAAACTACGGTTGTTGACTCCATAATTAAAAATGAACCAATTTGTGCCTTGAATAATATTAAACAAAAATCATTCAGCACAATAGTTAGTAATTATACCTTTTGAAACTTACAATACTTTAAGATTGAGCAGAAGATATTATTCCTGTCCCTGGCGACGTTTAACAGTTATTTTAGTTGTTGTTTACCAGTTGTAAATGAAACAAATTTTGTTTCTAATAGATACTAGGTTGGGGGAAAAAAACAATACTTTAGGGTTGGGTTGGCTGCTGTAGTGGAGTTTGGCATATAGTATAGTAGTTACACAGTTTCTTGAATTTTAATTTAATCAGAAAGCCAAACTTATTCGAGTGTCTGTAGAACGGGCGACTTCTTGTAAGTCACATATTAGGGTTGTTGATAATATATCAAAATATCAATATATCGATATTTTATTCTAATAATGATATATTTATATCGTAATATTTTTTTTGCCTAAATATCGAAATATCGATGTTTGTTTTTGATATTTTTGGATATTATTTCCTTGGTCACTGAATTTCAAAGCAACGTGGATTGATCTTCTGTACCAAGTTTAGCAGTGGGATATGGGATTTTATGGATGGGATCGCTTTATGGGATTTCTATACATCCAATGGGTTGCTTTTCCACGTAGCTTGAGACAAGCTGAATTATAATTTCAGCTTCTTATTTTTTTCCGACAATAAGGAGCTGAAATTATATGACGGACACACACATAAAGCAAAGGGTATTCTTAAAATCCCTAAATTCAAAACATTGGGATTAATTTGGTATATCATAAAATAAAAGTTAAGTTTATACAATGTATAAAAATATAATTAAATAATTATTTAGGCAACTTGTCTTTTTAGTTCGAGATTTAACAGATAAGAGAACCCCCTAAGTGTGCAGGAAAACAATTTATTCAAAAAATATCAAATATATCGATATTTCCCATTGATATTTTAAATATTATCATCATATTTTTTTGATAAAAAAAATATCATCGATACGATATTTTTAAAAATATTTGACAACCCTATCACATATGCATGTATGTATGTACAATACATATTATTAATTTTAGCGGTGCTGCCATATTTGTTGCTTACTAGGGATGAGAACGGGAGTTTAGCGATAGCTGAAGGACTCGGCCATTAAATAGAGAAATGCTTTTTCAGTGGACGAAGCAGCAAAACGAAGGGTTTTAGTAAAGGGAAATACGGGCGGAGCCAAAGTTTATACTATTATATATCGGAATTATATCGGAATATAATACGAGAAATAATTTAATTCAATTAAATTTAATTTATATATATGTTTATTTATGTTAGGCTCTAAAATTGAGGCCCCTGTACATTTCAGGCACTAACTAATACGTATTTAGTAAACCTTAGTAATTATTTAATTTAATGGGTGTTTAACCAATATTAACAAATTTAATTTTTAAATAATTTTAAATTCAAAATTTTTTTTTTTAATGTCAAAGTCTGTACATTCTTTAAAATGATATTACATCAACGTTATTGAGTAGTTTTTACTTAACATTGTGGGATTAAAATATATTTGTAAGCCAATACTCACAAAAATAAACTTTTTTGGTGTCAAAAAAGTTTTCCAATCTGACTAATAGGCTTAAAATTTAAAGCTTTTAAAATTTGAAGGTTTTTGTTTTTAAATAAACTAGATTAAGCTTCAAAAAAGTTTTTTTTATAAAACTGCTTCGTATAAAAGTTGAACATAGTCATTGGCCAACCAATTTGTTGCATCGATGTATCGATATTGTCAAATAGAGGTGCTGCCCTATTTGTAACTCTAGCCTAAGGATGTCATTCAAACTAGCGGCGAATAGCTAGCGTTGATGTGGAACAGTGGAAACTGGCACAAAAAAACGAAGTTTTGGTTTTTCATCTATGAAACTGGAATGTTCCAAGAAAACGCTGACATTAAAACTTCTTTCGCTATGAAATTTACACCAAAAAATTTATTCATTCAGACAAAGATTATACAGTACATAAATGGGACATCTCATACAAAGAAAAATTTTCTATGGCGGGTTCCAGCAGTGGAACCCGCTGGAACGAGCGGGTTCCATTGCGCGACTAGTTAAGTTTGAGAAAATTTTCGCGCGACAACGAATGAGGAATAGCCGAGTGGTAGAGTGCTTGGCTGGTGTGCAAAGTAAAATGAGTTCAAACCAGGCTCGGGAAGTCCATTTTTTTTTAATTTTAAATCTATTAATATTATTTGAAAACATTTGAGAGCGGGTTCCATGACAAACGGCTGGCAGATGAGAGAGGGAAAGAGAGAATTCTATTTTTAGATCGTAACATCTTTGGAACGATGAAAGTTTGAAACGTTCAAATCGAACCAGGGTGAGAGCAAAGAGATCAGAAATATCTTCTACTATCCTTCCTCTTCAGCTCTGTTTTTGGTATGGATTCTAGCGCTAACTTTAAAACCAACTTTAAGTATCATAAAATCAACTTCGAGGGTAGCCTAGATAGATAGTGCGCGGTCCTTATTCATGGGGTCCTGGGTTCGATTACACCAGCGGGCGGTTTTTCCAATTTTGATAAAGTTTTAGTATTATGATTCTTTTTATACATATTTACTTTTATTTTTTTTTATTTTTTTTTTTTTTACTTTTAATTTTTACGTTATTATTATTATTTTTAATTGCATTCTATTACAATTATTGTTAAGTGATTAATTAAGTCCGTTACAATTAAGTGACGGACGTGTCGGATGACAAAATGCCGGAAGGACTTCCTTGAAATTTTATTAGCATGTTATTAGCGGGACATAATGAAGATTAAAAAATTTTTATAATTGTAAAATTAAATAAAAATACTACAATTAAAGAAAAATAAAAATAAAAAATTATTATAAAAGAAAGAAAAAGTTCGAAGTCCTAACAAGGATTTGAACACAAAAAAATTATACATAGATCAACTACTCTATGCATTACGCTACCATCCTGTCTCGATCTGCGGCGATCAAAAATACTATTTGTTCTATCAACTAAAACATCGGCGCATCGAAAACAGAAACGAGAAATTGAAATTGAAATTTGGAAGCCAAAACATTTTTACTCCGTCGTGCGAGCAGTCACACATACACACATAGGTTCACATTTTTGTTGACGGGTACATGTAAAGAGTTCTAAAAATAGAATCGTATGCATGTGCGTTTCTCTCCTCACCAACAAGCTCGAAGAAAAAAGTTGACCGTTTTGGGCCCTGATGTCCCATCTATGTACTTTATAATCTTTGATTCAGATCAAAGGCACATAGAAAAAAGCGTGGACTGCCGTTCACAGGGGTATAATTTATTTCTGGAAAAATGTATCTGGAAAGCTCAATTCAGCCAAATCGGCGGATTTTTATACAAGTTTTAGGCATTTATATACCGATTCTCATACAATTATGTTATAATTTTGGACGTTGATATCGAAGGCTCAAAGAGATAGAACTATCCGATTTGAATGTTGGACTTCCTATGTCATCCACGCAGATCAAATTTGTAACCCAATTTGGCCACGCCCGCTCCCGCCCCAAAAATGAAAATCTGTAAAATCTTAATTTGTGTTTTGATTTTTACACCCCGGGATGGGTATATAATGGAAAAAAATTTTTGTGTTTAATGCCAATTGATGACTTGTTTCTTAACTGAAAGTAAACAAAATTTTTAGTTTGTTAAAATTTTTTATTTATTTTTACACAATTTTTTTAAATAATACTTTAATATTAAATAATATTAAAATATTATATTTAAAACATATTATTATTATTATTATAAAATTATAAAATAATATTTATTTAAAATTTTATTAAAATAACGACCTTGAAAACAAAATTTAAGTGTGTCAATGTGTGTTTTATAATATTTCCTTATCCGAGCCATCTAAAATTTTTTCATAATTATTTTTTGTAAATCCCTCATTTGTGGAGAATTTTAGCTCCGCAATGGCTAGGCTAGGTCGAGTCGTCCTCTCTTTTATCGAGAGAATTTGCTTCGCAATGAGTAGTCGGGCCGCACTCTGTTCATTCTGTTACTGCTTATCACCATTAACTGTCCAATCTTCGGATCATCCAGTTTCATCTGCCTGTAGAATAAATATTCTTATAACGTACAACGCTGTGTGACTTTAATATCCGAGCACCAAACTGGCCCAATGTTGATTATTTACCATCTTAATCACGCGCCACAACTTCACCGCGGTAATATTTAATATACCACTCGATCAATTTGACTTCGTAAGTAATTCGTTAGGTCGGCTGCTGTGCTTGTGTTTCAGGATCTATAACCATGAGATTTCATATACCATAGACTTAGACTTTAACACTAAACATAAAAAAGTTCATTTTCTAGTCTCTCAGTTTCAAAACTATCGACTTGAAACTTTGCACACACCCTTCTTTCCTTTGCACGCAGTATATAATTCGGAACGGCCGGGATATCCTATAGCTCAGCCATATAACTGAACGATCGGAAATGACCCAACTTTTGTGTTTTTGAAGAAAACTTAGTACAGATTATATTTTTAGTCAGTTAATCCGACCTACCAAATTGCATAACGATCGACCGACTATAGCTGCATATAAAACTTGAACAAACTTGAAACTTTAAACGCGATTATCTCAGAATCTTTTTTTTGGGAAATTACCTTTGCGGTGGACACGATTACTAAAAAACTACTAATCCGATCAACACCAAATTTTGACCACTTATTTATTATGATATTAGCTATTTCGTAAACGAGGAATTTTTTTGAAAACTCCTTTTTTAAAGCACAAAAAACGAAACTCTTATACGTTGAAAAAGTACATTTTTTGTTAGAAACGTCGCCATTTTTTTTTTAATCAAAATTTTTTATAATCCCTCGTTTACGGACTAGACAATACAATATACTAACTAATCTTTTTTGAATTTTGGATTTCGGATGAACCGTTTTTGAGAAATCTTGCCCACCGCAAGACACCATCGAAAAAAGACGATCCAGGAATTCGGCTATAACATTTTTGATTTTTAATATTTTTTTATGAAAAAATTTAATTAAGTACCCAGAAACATGTACTAAACAACGTCGGTAAAACATTTTTCATAAATATTTTCTATGGTGTCAAAAAAAAATCGATAAAAATCCATATTTTTGCGCGGTACAACTGTATATAACCCCTTAAGTTAACTAAGATGAAGTGGCGTTATTCTGAATACAGTCACGTTACAATTGAAAGCTAAAAATCGTGCGCTATTATGCAAAGTGTACGCAAATCTGCACATTAATAAGAGTTAAGCGAAAGAAAGAGAAGCAAAACAAAAAACAAAAATTTGAATAAAAGGGTGTCTCGTTCCCAAACAGGCCTTAAGAAAGACTCTGGAAAAAAGAAATATTTCGAAAAATATTTAAATGTACAATTTTAAGTGACCGATTTTCGTGTAATGAGACACTTTATTGGAATACAAATTTAAAGAACTGATTTGCCATAGTCAGTCAACATATATTAAAAATTTTATGAGAAAATGTAATGTGGAAGAGTCTAATTCTGTAATTGTAACTCCCCTCCTAAGGGGACTTTGATCCAAGCAAGTTAGACTGTACAGCCGTGCAATCAAAAAATTATGTGATGCCCGTGTATATTTATACCAGAGGTCGGCACCCCAATACATTGATATGATTTTACCGCATTAGTGTTAGTAACAAATAGCAGAAAGTAGGCTTTTAGAATGACGTTTCTCGCATTTATACTGTGTGTGTGTGGCAGAGCTCGGGCAGAGAAATTTCCTATGCCCCCGAGATAGGGCCGTGCCGACCACTGATTTATACACACACCTGAGTACTTCAATAAGTATTCTTGACAAATAACAACAATAGGATACCATGACAATGCCTTTAAAGAGTTCGTAGATACTTGAAGGGAACTGTTAACTTCAAGCTTCAAGAAACAAATTTTAATTATACTCTTACAGGATATATAGATTCCGATTGGGCTGGAACCTGCAGTCGAAGTACCAATGGGTATCTTTTTAAAAGGTTTAAAAATTGTTTGATTTCATTAAGTACCATAAAAAAAAAGTTGGTTGAAGCATAATACATGGTTTTGTTTCAAGGTGTAAATGGCTTATACAACTAATAAATGAAATAACTCTATTATTAAATGGTCCTCTAGGTATTTTTAAGACCGTCAAGGTTGTATAAGTATTCCAAATCCTATTTGTCATCAAATTAAGGCTAATAAGTCAAATTAAAAATCCCAATAAAAAAATACTAATAAATTAAACCCCATATCAAAATCAAACGCATTTTATTTTCTAAAAAACGGAATTTAAAAACGGATTTGCAGCTACCGGAAGCGCTCGGTAACTTAACATCAATAAATATAATTATCGATTATAATCATAAGTTATTAAATAAAGTTTATATTGCCGTTTTATATTTATTTGTCTTAAACTTTTAATTATGTTAATTTCAGTATGGATCTAGTTGGGTTTTACTACGTGTAGCTCGTGTAGCAAATGCTGGATCTAATGTATCCCCAGAATTGAAAACGAATAATAAAATTAAGAAACAAATAAAGCAGAAACTGCTTTCTTCTTTTAGCAGAAAATGGCAAGAATCGAAGTGATAACAAATTAGATAACAAATGAATTGAGTGCGATTAAATGCTGAGACGAAAATAAGTGAATGAGTGAGTGCGACTGTGTAGGTTTCACCCGCACAACATTCGGGCGATGAAAACCAAATTGAATGAGTTAGAGTTCGAGATCGCATTTGAATTGTTTCGAATGCATTTTAGAATGTACGATAAAACGTCATTTTTTTTCAGGAATATTCAGTATTATTTTGTATAATTTATTTAACATAATTTACTTATAGGAGTTCAAAAATATTTTCAATAGTTATTAACAAACATTTATCCAACAAACTTTGCCGCTAAAAAATATGATAAAAAATTTAAATTTTGAAAAAACCAAAAAACTCACAAGAAAACTAAGCAAAAATACTAAGATAAAAATAATAACGGTTAAAACCATAAGTATACAAAAATTATTCATACATTCGTAATAAAAACACTAACAATATAACTTACCTTTCAAACAAAAGCGTTTTGCTAAAAAAAAGAAAATAAACGAATCTATAAAATGATTTTAAAAACCATTCCTCATTCCAAAAGAACTCAAAAGAAAAGAAAGAAAAGAAAAGAACCAAAGGTTAGAATGTTTGCTGCAGACTTCTATAAAAAATGTATCTATTAAGGCGGAAATTTAATTTAAAATTAAATTAATTTAATTTAAATTTGAAATTTAAATTTTAAGACGTATTTTGTAATAAGGTTTTGTAGCTTCTTCAATTTTGAATCAGTCAGTCTCATTCTGCACTTTTCCGTACTACTGGAGAAACTTACATTTTTATACCCTTGCAGAGGGTATTATAATTTTGTCCAAAAGTGTGCAACGCAGTGAAGGAGACATCTCCGACCCTATAAAGTATATATATTTTTGATCAGGATCACCTCCTGAGTTGATATGAGCATGTCCGTCTGTCCGTCGGTCCGTCTGTCTGTCCGTCTGTCTGTCCGTTTCTACGCGAACTAGTCTCTCAGTTTTGAAGCTATCGTCTTGAAACTTTGCACACACCCCTCTTTCCTTTGCACGCAGTATATAAGTCGGAACGGCCCGGATCGGCCGACTATATCCTATAGCTGCCATATAACTGATTGATCGGAAAATGTATAACTTTTTTAGAGTTAGAGAGTTCAAATTTGACACGAGAGCTATTTTTGGCAAACCATTACGATATGCCAAATTTCATAAGGATCGGCCGACTATATCTTATAGCTGCCATATAACTGAACGATCGGAAATTACCCAACTTTCGTGTTTTTGAAGATAGAAAGCTGAAACTGAATACAGATTCTATTTTTGGCCAGTTCCAACCTCCAACCTACCAAATTTCATTAGGATCGACTATATCCTATAGCTGCCATATAACTGAACGATCGGAAATGAAACTTGGTAGAAATATCAACTTTCGTATTTTTGAAGATAGAAGTTTGGGACTTTTTTTAGATTTTTTATTTTAGTTAATTAGTTTTATTATGATGTAATCATAAGGATCGACCAACTATATCCGATGTTTGCGAAATATATCCGGTTTTAACTGCAAGGGTATATAAACTTCGGCTCCGCCCGAAGTTAGCTTTCCTTTCTTGTTCTTAGGTAATCTTTTGCGAAGTCAAATTGTTTGCTAGGTGGAGTTGCTAAAAGAGGTAACGAGAAATTCTTTATTGAATAATTTTTTTTTGTTCAATATAGACCAAATTTTCAGGACATATAAAAAATTTCATAAATATTTAGTGTGCAATAAAATGGCTCTAATTTAAAAATTTATAATAATATTAATTTCTTTTTAATCTATGGGGAAGGAAAAGAGCGTGCCGAATTCGAGTTGCTGATAAAATTTTGTATGGGCAGCTCTAAAAATGCTAGTTATGTCCTTTTTTTCCATTTTTTGTTGGCAGCGAGGGTCTTGACACGCCCACTTTTTTGTAGTACTCCTAGTTTTCTATACCGAAAACCAACTTCTAGGTTCGCTTTGTAATATTTAATGACAGAAAAAGTTTTCATTTACCCCATAGTGCAATGGTTTTAATTTTATTATTAACAATGATCTGTTTTTCTAATCTTATGATAACTAAAAGTAAAGATAAATTATAAAATTATGATAGAGATTCCATAGTTTCAAATTGAATTACATCTAGGGATAGTTCAGGAGATAATAAATGGGAAAATGAGTTGTAATTCTTACAAATGTGTTCAGCAAAATTAGATATAGAAATTGATAACTAAAGGGTTGGGAAGGATCTAGTTACTCTATAAGGAACTAAAGACATTAATTTTTTTTCAAAATTAATTTTGAGTCCATTTGTCCTAGAATAACAATGTAGTAGCATAACATTGAATAGTTTTAACCGGCAAAGATAGGTAGGCGACGGTAGGCAAGTGACGGTATCCCAGTTTAAATTTTTTAATACAAATAACAGAAACTGCTTTTGGACAGATTCAATCCGCTTTTGGTGAACAAAGTATTGAGGACTCCAAACGTTTGAACAGTATTTCAAGATAGGACCAAAGAGACATATGGAGTCTTAGTTGTGAAAGCATTATCAAATTCTTTTGAACAACGTGTGATAAAACAGCACATGTGAGACGATGTGAGGTTTGAACACTGCGATTGAACGTCATACAAGGACAGAGAAAGAAAAACATAACTTGACATCATCAGCATATACAAATATAGTAGCATAGTTTAGTAGGTAAATCGTTAAAAAAAATAACAAACAGAAGAGGTCCTAAGTGACTACCTTGTGGGACATCAGATGAAACGTTTATAATCTGTGATGTAATGTTTTTAAACAAAACACGCTGCGTGCGGTTAGATAAAAGGTCAACCACTGTACAATTTTTGGAGAAAGCCCAAGTTTATGAAGGATGAGATGATGGTTCACAGAATCGAATGCTTTGCTTAAATCAGTGTATACCACATCAGCACATCATGGTGCTCAGAAAACCCCTGTGGGTTAACATCGATTACCACCGATTCAAATAGTGTAGGATGGTTCAGAAAGCGATAGCGGTGACGACTGTGTAAATAATTTCAATAGCCGAGAGTATTCGATCAGATCAGATGTAAGAGAGGACGTAACAAAAGAGATGTGCAACGAGGCTAGGCGTCGTGAAGAAAAACCAACTCCACAGTAGCTACGATGTAACGGGTACAGCTCGGAGAGGGTTTTCGTTGGATAATTTGGTTTTAAAGTCAGATAGACTTTTTGGTAAGATGTTATGCATTGTATTCTAATATAAAGAGTACAAAAGGATTTCTCATTATGGGGCTCATTAAATGATTGACTAATATTGACTAAGACTAATATTTAGCTATTATTAGTATAATTTTTTTTCTATAAATTTATGGACTATTTAAGATTATTATTAAAAATTATAACAAATTAAATACTTCTAAATATTTTTCTATTTAATTGTTGTATAATTAAATAACATATAACATAAGTCCAGTTGCGACAAAGTCCAGTTGGTGGTCTTCTTTAAGCCAAAGTCCAAAAAAAAAAAACAAAAGTTTTATTACCCACAGTTTCCGCGGTACACATCAGAGAAGAAATAAATAAAATCTCAAAATATATCAAAATATTTTCTATTGCATTATATATTTTATATGAATATGTATGCACCGACTAAAATGTAAAATGGCATTCAACTGTTATAGCTTTGGAATACCCATTTAAAGATAAACATAAGTATTGTAGTTTGGGACAATTCATAGTAAATCATAAATGAATGTATTAATTTTACATGTGTAGTGCGAAAACTGAGTGTGGTGTTTGTTCCGGGGTTTGGTTCAGAAGAGACCAAAGGGTATGGACCACATAAAACTATGCGTGGAGATTTTTTGCTGTCGGCCTATGTAATAAAGTAAATTTGGCCTACATTCATTTTTTCCTGTTAAAAAATATTTTTTCTCATACAAATGGTGTATTGAAGTAAATTTTTCTTTTGCAGGTTATGGGTTTCGTGCTCAATTCAGATCCCTTGATAAATTTGTCAAAGTTTCCCATTATTGTTTGCGCTTGAACTGCTGTTTCGGCTATCTGTTCAATCTGAATGGTTTGATTTGACGGTGCTTGAGACTGTGAAACTGAGTCCTTTAGCGGATGTTCCTCATGTTGAAACTCCTCGTCCAAGTTATACTCGTCGGCGGAATTCTTAGAGCAATATATTTGTTCACTTTTTAATACGCCTTCAACCATTGAACTCTTATTTGGCTTTGGTGCACACTCGTACTCGACGTCTAGATTATACCAGTCAAACTCCGCTTGAATGGGTAAAACTTTTGAGGGGTCTGGTAACTGATATTTCATTGACTTCAATACAGGGATACAAGAAGTGTCTGGAGTGAGTTTACTTGGGCAGCCTGGCTTATTTAAGCGCTTATTAATTTCGGATATGATGTTGGGTACAAGCTCTCTTTTAAGTTGCGTACTCGGTTGGGACGCTTCTAGTGTCTGGGGAGGTATATTAAGGCATAGCGTGTCACGTGTGGTCATCCTCAGATAACTGGAAGATGTTTGTTTTGGTACAATAATGGCCGCCACATTGGGTAACTTTGGTACGTCGGCAAAAATCTCTTCAATTTCGTCAGTCTTTTGTAAATGACTATCAACTAAATTTATGCGCTGGTGATCTTTTTCTGGGATAGCTGTTGATTTTTTTGACATAGGCGATGTGGACTTTGGTTCTTGATGAATGTCTGCCATCGTCTGCACACGAACGCTGGCCACACCTAATTCGCATATAGAGCAATAGTCAGGCTCGGAAATGGTTGCAGTAGATGTCGCACAGTTTGAATCATTTTTAAGCCCACCAAAAGGGTGCAATAATTTCTTGAATTTAAGAAGGTTGGCTGGTTTGGGAGGAAGATCAGGAGGTATTCTCTGGGTAGGTTTAAGCGCCGTATGACCGCCAGATGCCATATCTATGTAATCATTGGAGGCGATCTCTGAGCCTATGGGCTCATAATCATTGCTATAGACACTTTCGTAGTTAGAGGTATCTCCAACATTGGGCAAGACATTGTAGAGAGATATTACTGGTTGTAGCCGCTCGATGCTACCATTAGCCTCCTCATTGTTACGCGGCAAGTGAACCATGCTGTTTTTGGTAGAAAAATGAACTCGTTTACGCCCAGTTGTAATGTGAGACCTACATGGTCGGATAAATGTGGAACCAAAATTATCTGTTTTGCACTTTGTCGGTTCTTTAAGTGTATCTTCCATGGATTGCTGCAAAAGAATTTGATTGACGCATTCTAAAACGGGATTCACAGCGCCAAGACTATAAGGTTTAGACGATATAGTGGACCCCTCCTGATCAGAAGCAGTAGCGTACCAATCGTCCCCAGTAGTCTCGTAAATCTGCTTCGGAGATGCTTCAGAGAAATCGGAACAGCGCTTTTGAACTCCCCCTAGATTACTTTGAATCATTTTAAGCTCTTGTGTAGAGTAAAATGCCCCATACGCCTTAAAGTCGCCACGCATGGACGAAGAAATCCCATCGCAATTCTCTATTTTTGGAATCGCTAAAAAGTGGAGGGGCTTTTGGTGCAGGTCTAGTTCTAAACTACTTTGTTCGGAGTAATTTGGTTTCGGTGCCGAAATTTCTTCGAGCCTTCTTTCCATAGTTGGTGCGTTAGGGTGTATATGTTCGTAGCTTATTTGCGAATCTTCTTGGCTAATGCTGCTAGTGTTTTCTTCAGACTGCTGATCTAATTCAGGGTCATAGATGTGCATCGACCGGGATCGCATATAGTCCCAAAAAGTGCTCGTCGTGCGTTTGGTAGTGTAGGGCTCGCTACGTCTTGCTCCATCGAAAGATGATGCAACGGTGTCATCACTAGACGAGCTAGGATTGGCTGCGGTGATATAAAATACAAAATATTATTAATTAGTGAAAAGGTTTGATAAAGGACTGTGAAGGCATTATTCAATAATTTTAATACTATCATAGATTATTATAGTTTTATAGTTTAGATATGCAATTTAGTGGAGGACATCAACAGCTTTACAAAGTAAATGTAATATTTAAATGACGGTATCTATATACATATGATAGTGCGCCTGTTTGTTTCTACTGAGGCATTATGTTTTTATACCCGGTACTCGTAGAGTTGTATCTTCGATACAATATATACGTAAAGTATATATATTTAGATATACTTTATCGATTTTAAGAGGAGATATGTATATAAATAAAAAGATATATCTTTTTTTTTACACTACCCTTTTTATTCTTCTTCCTTACTGAATGGGTAGTCGATACGTATAAGGTAGTAGTAGTAGGTTTCGGTTGTTTACTTTTTGCCAAGCGCAATAGTATCCGATTCCCTACCTTTCAAGTTTAAAGGTTAGTTAAAATATGTATGGTACAGAATCTGTACTACAGATGTACCGAGTATTAAAAAAATTGAAAAAATTTAATATTGAAAAAAAAATTTTTCTTAAATAATTAATTAATCAGAGCACTAAGACATGCGGTTCGTTACTATCGTGACTAAAAAATTGAAAAAATTTAAAATAGGAAAAAAATTTGTTCTTAAAAAATTAATTAATCAGAGCACTAAGACATGCGGTTCGTTACTATCGTGACTTAACATAACTATCAAATATTTGTATTTTAATATTTAAATGCTTTTTTCAACTTACGGTTCTTACGTAGGCTCATTTCTTTAGTTGGATTTTGGTTGTTCTCATTTAATTCAACTTCATAAAACTTTTTGCGACATTTATTACATAGCAATGCCTCCATTACCATACAGTTACAGCCATCCGGATTCTGAACAGCGGCTTTACGTTGTTTCTGTTGTTGGTTGTCAAGTCGCTTTCTTAAGGCGCAATTAAGACGAACTAAGCGACAAATTTCCATATCTCTGTCAAGAAGCCTTTGCCCGGCAGTCTTCATATCTCTTTTTAGCTTCGCCTCAAAAACGAGAAGTGACTTGATAACAGAATCTAGCTCAATGGTACGTCGAAGCTTTTCATTTGCCAGTTCTCGGTGCAATTGCTTATTTTGTTGGTCATAGCTAGATATTAAATTTATAAATCGACATTTTATACTCAGATTCTCTTCTTTGGTAATACCAGACAAACTTGAGCCAGAGGTGCTTCGTTGTACCTTAATTCCTTTGGTGGCCTGAGAAAAGGGCTTCAAACTCTGTAAGATTTCAAAAATTTACTATTTTTTTTGGATTTTCTATTTATTTCTTTTGATTTATGAAACTAATGAAGAGTAAGTGAGTGATAGTAATGAGTGTGAAAGGCCGCCAGACCCTCCAGGTTATACTTAATTAAACTATATATTAACAAACATTTCTAATGGAATAAAATGGCTAAAACACTTTCCTAATATCAGTAGCTGTTTTTTTTCCTACCTCAGTTGGGTTCTGGTTTTTTAGATGGCCGCTTTTACAGAGTGACTTGAGAGGAACATTTTCAAATTGATTTAAGCTAAAGCTGCATTGTGAGCGCTTAACCTGCACCATCTCGTACATCTCCTCGTCGCAAGGATAATTGTCACGAATACAATTAAGGCCTCTCTTGTCCAATTGCCAGTTTGTGTAGACCGAAATTCTATCCGGCCGAGACTTCGCTTTTGTCGATATCAACTTGCTGCCTCCCTTTTGACATTTTAGAGAATCGTATCCATTCAAAAGCTCGTTTCGAATAAATTTCTCGATGAACTTGGTGTGTGGTTTAGAGTTAAGGTGTGAAAAAAACTTGGGACTCGTTTCATATATGTTGCCTGTTGACCGACGATAGCGAAAATCGGTTAACGACCATTTCTGGGCGTGTGGCAATGTATGGCTCTTTTTCTGATTGCTAGGTGAATCATTTTCATTACGATCTGGTATGAGTTCGTTCATTTGAAAATTGTTTCGCCCGATCATATTATGAAACTAAAGTAGAAAGCTTGAGGGCTCCATCCATATTGATCCTTGTCGATATCTTCATGTCCATGTGTATAAACGTATCTGAAAATAAAAAAAAAAACTGTGAGAAGTTCTATAAAAGCTGTAGGCAAGCTACAAATTTCAAATTTCTGTACAAATTTTCAAATTTACATATGTAAATGAAATAATTTACATATGAAATATGTACATATTTCGGTAATATGTACATTCAAAAAGATATTGAGCATAAGTCTAATTACAAGCATTAACTACTACGCACTACACGAACACATACATGTACATGTACACATGTACATACACGCCCAAAAGTGTTTTTTTGGCTTATTATACCCTTGCAGAGGGTATTATAATTTTGATCAAAAGTGTGCAACACAGTGAAGGAGACATCTCCAACATTATAAAGTACATAAATTCTTGATCAGGATCACCTCCTGAGTTGATATAAGCATGTCCGTCTGTCTGTATGTTTCTTCGCGAAGTAGTCTCTCAGTTTTAAAGCTATCGACTTGAAACTCGACTTGGAACTGAGGGGGCACACACCCCTCTTTCCTTTGCACGCAGTATATAAGTCGGAACGGCCGGGATCGGCCGACTATATCCAATAGCTGCCATATAACAGATTGACCGGAAATGGTATAACTTTGGTGTTTTTAGAGTTAGAGCGTTCGGATTTTGCATGAGTGCAAAAAAAGTGCACAATAATACGACCTACCAAATTTAAAAAGAATCGGCCCACTATATCCTATAGCTGCCATATAACTGAACAATTGGAAATGACGCAATTTTCGTGTTTTTAAAGATAGAAAGTTGGAACTTTGTACAGATTATATTTTTGGTCAGTTTATCTCACCTATCGAATTTCTTTGGTATTTTAGAAGATAGAAACTTGGGTCTTTGTTTTAGATATTTTATTGTAATTAATTGGTTTTATTATGATATTCTATATCCGATGATTGCGATATATATCCGGTTTTAACTGCAAGGGTATATCAACTTCGGCTCCGCCCAAAGTTAGCTTTCCTTTCTTGTTTTTGATTGTATTTCACGCCTATAAGATATTCCCTCAATGCAGGGTCCGTCCGTTTCGTCACTGCGTCACATGATAGATACTGTCACAGCTATCTACGAATCCTTGCTTTCAATAGGCAGTGACAAGGTAATAGCAAATTAAAAATTAAAATTAAACCGTTTTTTTTAATATTTAGGAAAAAGTAGCAATGACGCCAATAACTGCCACCACCGAAGAAAAAACTAAGCTACGACAATGTATTCATTACTGATCACTGTGGACTGCAGTCTCCGTAAGTGATGAACTGGCGAACTGACCTCGAGCTAGCTATTAGCTAATTACTGTGAACGGCAATCCACGTAGGTGACGAACCGCATGCCTTAGTGTGCGCGAGGAAACTACTATATACAGGAAAAAAATGTAAGCGTTCGATCTAAATCAGTGGATGGGCAAACTCTCATTTTCCATAGCACGCGTGCATAGGATAGGAAATTCTGCCGCAGCGCTGCCGGCACACTGACAGTGTAAGCATTCTCAATTTTTTTTAGAAGCTCTCTCATTTGCTCCCATTTTGACTCATTTGACAGCCCAAACTTAAAAATTAAAATGTTTCCCTGACAAGTATTTTGTTCAGAAATTGGGTTGGAAAAAGTTTTCTTCATGGAGAATATAGATAGGGAAACGTAGTTTTTCATTTGTTTAAGAAATGTTGCTAGAAAAGATGTCTTTAAAATAAAATACACTATTTTAGTTCCCATTCAAACTTTTGAATAACGAAAAAAAAATATATATACATATATAAAAAAAAAATAGTTTTTTTCGCTCACTGAATTCTCTGTTCTCATTCTTTTTCTCTGCTACGCACACACTCAAATTTTAAACATGTGTTAGTTTTGCCCCCCCTCTTCTTTATGTAGAGAGTAAGTTGTTTGAAAAAATGTTGCGAATAGATCGGCAATTGTCTGAGAAGAGTGAATTTTCAAACGTAATCAAAGGAAAACAAGAAAGGAAAGCTAACTTCGGGCGGAGCCGAAGTTTATATACCCTTCCAGTTAAAACCGGATATGTATCGCAAACATCGGATATAGTTAGCCGATCCTTATGGGAATATAAATATATAATCCAATTTATTACAATACAAAATCTAAAAAAAGTCCCAAACTTCTATCTGCAAACATACCAAAGTTGGTATTTTTACCAAAACCATTTCCCATTGTTCAGTTATATGGCAGCTATAAGATATAGTCGGTCGATCGTTATGAAATTTGGTAGGTCGGATTAACTGACCAAAAATAAAATCTGTACCAAGTTCCAGCTTTCTATGTTCAAGAACACGAAAGTTGGGTCATTTCCAATCGTTCAGTTATATGGCAGCTATAGGATATAGTCGGCCGATCCTTACGAAATTTGGCATGTCGTATTATTTTGCCAAAAATAGCGCTCGTGTAAAATTGTCATATGGCAGCTATAGGATATAGTCGGCCGATCCAGGCCGTTCCGACTTATATACTGCGTGCAAAGGAAAGAAGGGTGTGTGCAAAGTTTCAAGTCGATAGCTTTAAAACTGAGAGACTAGTTTGCGTAGATCTAGATCTCATATCAACTCAGGAGGTGATCCTGATCAAGAATATATATACTTTATAGGGTCGGAGATGTCTCCTTCACTGCGTTGCACACTTTTAACCAAAATTATAATACCCTCGGCAAGGGTATAAAAAGATACATATTTAGGATACATATTTTTAAAGTTAAAATTTGACAGAGCTAGTATATATCTTGAAAAATCTATAGGCGGTATATATGAACAGGTAATGTATGAAGATTTAGCGGACAAAATGATTTTAATGCAAATGATTTAGCACTGGAGGAGGATTTTCCTTCGGTGATGGTAACGCAAAGTTATCTTCGGTCACAGTAAATCGGTGGAGAAGCTTTTGGTGCCATCTTGCACAAATTAGACACCTAGTATACACTTTTTGTTCGAAATCGGACCACAGCAGCAATTCCTCATAATCCAGAGAGGCGAGAAATGATTAAATTTCTCGATAAAAGGAATGTTCACATCTTTGTCAATTAATGTCTCGAAACATAACTTAAAAATTTTTTACACTCCGCATAGTTTCCACCGAATAGTTTTTGGCAATGCAAAACTGGGAAGTCAAGATTAAGTTGGGGCTTAATATAAGCCGAAGGCCAGTCTAATAATGACATCACCTTTGCTTAGTCGTTATTTCCAATTCTTCTATAAAATGGTCTCATATAAAACTTGCAGCCTGCATTCTAGCTCGGTCTTTACTAGATCCAGTTTACAAATATTCCTCTAACCAGCGAATGCTTTTTACTCTAATATTTAATCTTCTTTTTAAATTATCAAAGGTTGTGAATTTTACTTAGATTAGTTTTTGTTTATTATTATCCATTTAATTTTTTTTTTATTTTTTTTATAAACAGACGATTTTTAAAAATTATTATTATTTAATTATGAAATAAAAAAAACAATGGTTTAAATGTATGATATATTATTTACCTAATTATTATTTATTTTTTTTTAAGTTCAATTAAAATAACACTGGCGAAAAATACATAACAATTTATTATTTTAATATGCGGAAAAAACGAGATAATAACAAGGTGCAACAGTGATTTTTAAAATGACATAGTTGGAATTGTTTATCTGGTACAATATAACACAAAACCGTGTTTGAAATATTTAAAATACTTAAAAGTCAATTCAATCTTACAAATAAGAAATAAGCTAATGAAAGGACACACTGTTACTCCGGTTTGGGAAAAGAGTTATAACTTCAACAATTTTTATAATTTCATAAAATTTGTCTCGTTTTATTCAGTTTTAATAAGACAACATTTATATGTGTCCTTAATGACAGAATTTTTGTAATTTGTACCGAAAAAATGGCGTCAAAATGCAAAAACACACAAACAAAATTTCAGTTTCTTTTGTAAAAATTGTATCCTTCAGTTTAAAATATTTGAAGATATATTTTTTTTTAGAGCTACATCTTTAATCTTTCGAAATTGGACGAAAATTTAAAAAAAGGTTTAAAATTACGCTTTTAGAAAGGTTTTAAAAGGTTTTTTATGATTTAAAACCAGAAAAACGTTTTTTTTAAATCAAGTTTTTAGGGTGTTTCACATATTTCAAATACGGTTTTGTGTTATGTTTGACCAAATAAAATAATTCCTATTAGTCAAATAATGTTGGCTGTTGAGAAACTGAGTTGAAATCTCCGATTTTATACCATGATTTGTAACCATGATTATGATCAATCTGCCTTAGGATCCTTCAATCCTGCTGACACTTTTCTCTTACAGTAGGTGAAGCGCATGGGGCTTTTGATGGAGGTGATAGGATGAATGTGGATCCTGGCTTTTCCGTGAATTTCACGACGCGGTGAATTTAAGTTAAATTGTGTTTATTTATCTGTATTTTTTTTTTGTAAAACTGTGTCACTTTCCCCTTTTTTTGTTTAATAGTTTTTTAATAATTATAACCGCAAAAAAAAAAAATGTCCGCCCGGGGTACAAAGATTTTTTTATATTCGTACAGAACGATATTTCGTACACAAATAAAATATTAAAAATAAAGGTGACAATACCATAGCTATTACAAATCGCTATATTTCGCTCTAATACGGTGAAGCGAGGCGAATGCGCATTCGTTTCCCTTCCGCCCTAAGCTATCTTAAACTAGATTTAGATAACTAACAAATTCAATCTTTTACTTCAATATAAAACAATTTAAATTCAAGCAAATTAATAATAAGACAAATAATAAAAATTAATAAAAACTACGAATCCATTTACAGCAAGTTTCGAAGCGAACGTGTGTTACCGCCACGAATCCCTATAATTCCTACAGATGTGCCAATTGAATTTAAACGCCTAAATGCCAATTAGAATCTAAAGGTTAGAGCTCCAACATATTTGTTAAAATAAATCTTGCATAGAAAACTAAGAAAATCGATAATTTGTTTTCTCTCTTCTTCCTTCTTTTAATCTAATTAAGATACATTTTTTTTCTAAATAGATCCAAGTTCAATACTCAAAACAAAAGAGAGAAAAAAGCTTACTCACATTTTAGTGACCTGGTAATGTACTAAATCGAATAAAAACAAGAACGGAAAGGTAACTTCGGGCGGAGCCGAAGTTGATATGAAGTTGATATACTCTTGCAGTTAAAACCGGATATATATCGCAAACATCGGATATAGTTGGCCGATCCTTATGATGGCATCATAATAAAACCAATTAATTAAAATAAAAAATCTAAAAAAAAGTCCCAAGCTTCTATCTTCAAAAATACGAAAGTTGATATTTCTACCAAATACCATTTCCGATCGTTCAGATCGGCAGCTACAAGATATAGTCGGTCGATCCTTATGAAATTTGGGAAATTTAGATGAAATTCGCGTCTGTTTCTATGCAAACTATTATGCCAGTTTTAAAGCTGTCGTTTTAAAACTTTGCAAACACCCTTCTTTCGGCCATTATCGGCCGACTATATCCTGTAGCTGCCATATAACTGAACGATCGGAAATGGTATTTGGAAGAAAAACCAACTTTGGTATTTTAGAAGATAGAAGCTTGGGACTTTTTTCTTAAATATTTTATTGCAATAAATTTGTTATACTATGATATTCTTATAAGGATCGGTCAACTAGATTCGTTTTTGCAATATATATCCGGTTTTAACTGCAAGGGTATATCAACTTCGGCTTCGCGCGAAGTTAGCTTTCCTTTCTTGTTATAGTTATCGGTTGGCAGTTTTGTAGTTATATAGCAGCTATAGGATAAAGACGGCAACAACTATAAGGTAGTTTCGTCATCAGAACGAGTGAATTGCGTAAAAACAATTCCAAAAAATTTTCCAATTCTTTGACTCCAAAAACACTAGTTTGGGCATTCCATCAATATGTTATATATGTCAGCTATAGGATAAATTCGGGCGATCACGGTATAAAAACGCCCAAAATATGAATATGTCGAAGATTACAATTTCCCTCCTCCTGATAAACGAATAAAACTAGAGTCCTGCATGAATAACAAAAAAGACGACATTCAAAATTTGAATTTCAAATGCACAACCTTGAAATTGAATTGAGTGAATTTTTGAGACGAAAATAAATCGCATTCGAATTGTTTCGAGTGCATTATAGAATGTACGATATAACTATGCATATTTGCCTGTATTATCAGACGGTGATAATAAAATAATTCAAAAGTGGATGCAAGTCATTGTTTTTTTTTTTAGATTTAATTGTTTTTTTTAATTTTTATTATGTTGCCGCTAAACAAATTTTGTAAAGTAGTTTAATTTGCGAAACTCAAACGAAAACCAAACAAAAACTCTAAGAAAATAATAATAACAGTTAAAAACCATAAGTATAAAAAAATTATTCATACATTCGCGAAAAAACCACTTTCATTATAATTTACCTTTCGGTCAATTTTGAAAATTTTGAAGATAATTTTGCAGTGTAAAAAAAAAATTTGAAAATGAAAATGGCAGTGTAAAAAGTGAAAATTGAAAAGTTGGCAGTGTAAAAAGTGTTTTGAATCTATATCTCCGAGCGGAGATCCCCTGTATTAAAATGTTTTTAAGTTGTTCTTTTTTATCAATTTTTTCACCCAAATCTAAAAAGGCATTTATTTGAAGCCATAGAAGCAAGATTGTCGTAAACATGGTCCTGGTCCTACCTATGTATTCTCTTTTTTCCCTTTGCCTTACAATTAACATGAAAAACATTGACGTTACCAATATAAAAAATGAATTTCTCCAAAAGTAGTTAAAGGTGTCATTTTAAATTGAAAAACATATAAATTTAAACAACCTACAATGTATCTTATTTTAATGAATAATATGCAATTTGTTTTTTGCAAGCAAAGATTTACCAAAATTTTAAAAGTTTCATAAATCTTAAAGATTTAGATAGGGTGATCGCCCACATTGAAAACACTTCAGATTAGTAAATTGTGTTTTCTTGTTCGATACTTTTAAGAGAATTAAATTGTTTTATAATATACTTGTACTACAAATTAAAATTTCTTTTCAAAGTATTCAAATGCTTACATAATTATTTATGTAAATATTTAATGATGTATTACGTGTTCTACAACTTAGACTCTAAAGGAGTCAATTTCTGTTTTCTTTACAAACAAAAAACTCCCTTCTTCTTCGCCAACCTGCCCCCCCTGGTTTCTTTACTACTTTTTAATTCTTTTTTTCTGGGGCATGTATGTATGTGTTGATTGAAACTGGTTTTAACAGTTAAAATTGTATTTGATTTTGACCCAATGTTTCTATGCATTGTTCAAAGCTTTAATACAATTACAAAAATTTAAAAATGATTTTATTGTTAATGTTTATCATGGTCTTTAATTTCACGAATTTTATATTTAAATTTAAAGAAGAATATATATGTATCTTTTCTTAGCTATTTATTAAATCTTACTTTTAAGATTAACATACTTCTTCAGGTTGAGTACACAATGTTGAGACGCGTGGTGTGTTTTGCCTTGTTTTTGAATCACTCAGAGAAAGCGGTTTCATTCCTCGGAATTTGTACCTGCCCTCACTAATTTTTTTTTTTTATTAGTTTTCTTAGTTAACTTTCTATTATAATAGTTTTAAGTTTATTTGTTTCTCTTTACTTAGGACAAGTGAATTTTGAGATCGTTTTCACTGCAATTTGGATTTAACTACTGAAGCCGATGAAAATCTGGCTGATAACATTTTAAATAACAGAAAAATCCTGTAACAATTTTGAGTACTTTCACATTTTTATTTGATTCCGTATTTTTCACGATACTACTTCAGCGCGCGTTTGAAAATAACTTTTAGGTGCGATTTGCTCATTTCACATTTTACAGATGCAGATACAGCGAAGTCGAATGCGAGCAGTGGTGTTATTTTCGCTGTTTTCCCGTCAGATTTTGATTTTTGTTTTCAGCCTAGTTCTCATATCGAATACATGTTTGACGATAAAAAATTGATATTCCAGTGTGAACGAAGTTTCGCAGTACGGTCCACCTTAAAATTGGTTTAAATATGAATTTAAAAATTGTCAATATTGATAAAACAAATACAAATTAAATTTTTACTATTATCACAGAAATCTATTTTGCATTTTGAACCTATTTGGGTGCAAAAATATTAATATAAAGGTGGAAGTGGAACACAGCCACGAAAATTTTGTCTTTGAATAATTTCATTATGATATAATTTGGGACAAATAATTTCGGGAAATAATTTTAGTGTGTGGTGTGGAAAAGAGTGATTCTCATTATTTAAATTTTTAATTTTGATTTCCTAATTGATTTTTTTTCTGGTATTTTCGACTGGTATTTTTTGGTCAAAATTCAAATTGGCCCGTTCAACGTACCGATCAAGCTTTACGACTATAAAAAAAACGCGCCTTATACTTCTACCTCCAAGGTGGTGGGGAAAAGAGTATCTTTACTATTGCAAATAAAGTGTACATTTGAGAATATTATTTTTGTTAATTATTATTAATTTTTTGTATTTCATCTATTTATTGAGTATTTAATGGGGTGTTTCATTTAGTGTACTTAGGTTTTGTTTTGTATTGGTTTTAGTTGTTTTAAATTGTCTATTCATTGTTGTGTTTCGTAGTGTTTGGAGTATTTGTTGAGTTTTTGATTTTATTGTATATATTTTATTTATTTTTATTAATTATTATTATTTATTAAGTATTCATTATTTTTGTAAAATGTGATATTGAGATAGGAAAAGGACAAAAATTTCGTAAGATTTGCTTTTTATTTGCGTTTTCTGGCCATTTTTGTTCAAAATCACAAGTTTTTGGCTGTTCATAAAAATAGCATAAAAATAGTTATAGTTATATTTTTCTTCTTTTCAAATAATCGTGGTGAAAAAATGTTTTTAACAACAGTTTCAATAACAGTCGAATTTTTTTTTCCACAGAATTTTTCAATTTTACAACACTTTTTCAATTTTTGAAATTTTCCAACTTCGCGGTGCCGAAATAACATTTTTTTTTCATTTTGTTTCTTCGGCACCGCGAAGTTGGAAAACGTCCAAATTAAAAAAGTGTTGGAAACTGAAATAGTGGTTTTTCATAGGCGGGAAAATTTTGATAATATGAATATTAATAAAAAAAAATTATAAATTTCAATATTTCAAGCGTTTTTAAAACCAGGGTAAGCTTTTCAAGAAACTCTTTGTCCTATTTATTTAAATTTCATATTCCCAACTTATAATTTTTTTGTTAAAACTTTTAGGTTAATTCAAGTTTAATAGTAATGTGTTTAATTGAAAAGAAATTTCTTTTGAAAAGATGTATAAAAATATTATGAATTAAACTTTTTAATAAACAAGAAAGGAAAGGTATCTTCGGTAAGGTATGTCGTTTTGTTTTGCCACAAATAGCTCATGTAATTTGAACTCTCTAACTCTAAAAACACCAAAGATATAGCATTTCCGATCAATCAGTTATATGGCAGCTATAGGATGTATTCGGCCGATCCCGGCCGTTCCGATATACTGCATTCAATAGAAAGAAGGGTGTGGAAAACATTCAAGTCGATAGCTTTAAAGCTGAGAGACTATTTTGCGTAGAAACATAGAGACGGACATGCTTTTATCACCTCAGGAGGTGATCCTGATCAAGAATATATATACTTTATAGGGTCAGAGATGTCTCCATCACTGCGTTGAACACTTTTGACCAAAATTATAATACCCACTGCAAGGGTATTAAAATGCGTGTACTTGGGGTTCAACATTTCGAAGTTTTATTTAAATCTGAGCACATAATATTTGAGTGGTAATTACCAGTTAAAATAAATAAAAAATAAAGTCCCATAATGAATCATTCTCTGAATTAAATTCGTCTTCACCCAGCTCATCAAGTTTTTTTTTTAGCTTTTTTAATTGTTCATCGTCACTAAAAATTGCCTTAAACACGCGTGCAGTAAAGTCATCATAAATTCCTAACTTCTTTAGAAATTTAAGAATTTTCTTTTCAAAAACAGTGTAGTTCTGACGTGAGAGAGATTCATTTCCGGGCCGAGTCACATTTTGTTCATATAAGTAAGTACCCTTGCTATGCTGTGTTGTGAAGATCTTGTAAGCCTTGATTTTTTCATCGAGCTGCATGAACGGAAGCTTTAAAGCCACTTCAAGGTTCCTGTAGTACGGGTTAACATCATCATGGCTATGGTCTAGCAAAGTTTGGTTTATCCTCGACGTAATGACTTCATTTAACTTAGCAAGCTGCTGAAAATGAATTTTCTCCTCGCTCAGTACGATTTTACTGAGTAATAGAAATCCGAGAAAAACAGAAACTTGTAGTGCCATGTCTGCAACAATGATTTGAGTTTTCTTAGTTTTCCGTATTTATACACCGGGACTTGTCATGGCATAACATAAAAATGAGTAGTAAAAACTAGTCACTGTCACATAACTCATTTTTATGTTATGTCATGAAAATTATTTTAATAAATGAGTTTTGTAGCAATTTAGGTCAAAATTTTTTCATTTAAGGTAACAGAAAAGACTTTAAGACTTTTGGTGAAAATATGTGAATTTTTTCGACTTAAAGATTTATATACTTATGTATAATATGTATGTATATCTTATACAAGAATTAAAGTACATACATACATAGGTCTCGACTCATTTCCGCGTCTACTATTGCCGCACTTGTATAACACACTTCTGTTCATAAATTGTGCGAGCACGTCGAGAACACTTGTGTAGGAGCTGTTCCCTGGATTAAATAGAGTGCGCAGACGAGCGACGGTACGGACTGACGACTGACGAGCAAGGATGATTCGTCCCGCTCCAAAGTTAGCTGTGCTAGATGTGATAAATGCGGCTGCTTCACGGGGGTGAGGATGTCGCTGAACGGATAATGTAGTCTGTTACGTATCAATAGTCAGTCAGTCAGTTTGAATTACGCACCTCTAGTGCACACTTTCACTCAGTATTTTGATTTTTGACTCACTGATTTTGTTCTAAAGCTACGTTAAGTTTGGCGCCGCAGACACTCCGATCAGCGATCCCAGTGAAAAAGGGAAGCGATAATGCTGTAGGTCAAAATATATTAAGTTGAGGTTAATTCTATGTTGTATTTCCCCTACAGAATAAAACACGCTTATTACTATGTCCTATTACTTAAGTTACTATTACTTATGTCCCTACCGTTGCTTACGCTACAAGATCGCTACCACTCATCCCTGAAACACGCATGAATTTTAAACTCCACTATTTGCTGGGTAGAAGAAATTCTTAGTTTTTTTTCTTAAAATGTGTTTGCTTATAAATATTTAGTGAATATTATTTACCAAGTGTCGTAAATTAAATTCAAATTTTAAGTATCGTAAGGATGACGTCAGAGTGCGTGCGAGAAGCGAGCTATATTATTCTAATCTTTAGTTATTAACTTTGTGTTAAAAAAAAAGTGGCGTTCACTTGCAAAAACACCCAGAAAAGTTTTTTAACTATTCACGGATGTCTTAGAGTCGAGTTTTGAATATATGTACATATATTAAATAAAAGTAGTATTATTATATTAAATAATAAACTAAACTAATAAAAATAAACTGTATATTAAAATTACAAAATTACCATCTGAACTTTTAAACACACATGATTTGAACATAAACGGTAATAAAGGTGACATGATGCAACAAATCAATCAGAGCGCTCTGAGCGAGTTGAAGCGATAAATCAGGTTCAAATTGCTGTCTTGCTTTGTTCTCGCTTCATCGCTTGAACTCGCAACTTGCTTCGCTTTCACTCTGACATCTTTCGAGTTATTGCATATGAAAAAGGTTGCAGTGGTTTATCGTTCGTTCTCACTCAACATCCTCGCATCGCTTCTCGCGCTGCGAGGCGCAGTTGATTGAAGGCAATTGATTGAATTTGGTTTATTGCATGCCTCTAAGCTATTAATGCATCGCTCGCAGGCTGGGACTGACAACAATATGCCTTTAAAAAATTTTGCACCTTTGAAAAATCTAGGTTTTTTTTTTTGATTTCCATTTAAAAAATTCTTTAATATAACATCTTACTTAGAGACTGCGGGTTAAAAAAATTAATAATTGAACGCTAATTGGAGTCCTGGATAGAAGATCCAAGGATGGGCTGGTCCCTAAGGAGCTCTGGCGAAAGGTGGTAAACGATTTTTATCGAAGAGATGCTAAACAGCGGAGGACCCCCACCGGAATGTGAAGACACAGGTATCAGGGTAGCGTCAAGGTGATAGCGTACAAGCTTGGAGAAGTCTACCCTGGGGCAAGGGTGGAGGCGGTTGACTGAGCTCAGATTCCAAGCAAGCCGAGGGCGCGAGTACGCTCCGGCCGAAAACCCGGCCGACCATAATACCATCCTGGCGATGCTGAAGATGTGCATGTGGAGGATGCGGCTAGTACTGAACCACGCAGACGCAGAAGAGCCAGACTTGGAGGAGCCGACCGAAGAGGTGCACCCAGAAGGAATGTCGAAGGAGTAGGAGGATATCCTGGAAGGGTACGTCTCGGAGGAGAGCGACTTGACAAGGGCCCTTAGAAGCGGCGGGATGGAGGACGACTCTCTGCTGATCTCCGAGACGGAAGCAGAGGTTCCTGTGGTGGAGAATCTCAAGGATGTCTCTCACAATCTTGGAGATAAGCTTCCACCACAGTATGGCGGCGTCAGCTGCCCTCCTACTCCACCTCGCCAAGAGTGGAGCTGATGTGGCCCTCATCCAGGAACCCTGGATCTTTAGAGGGGGCATTGGAATATAGGCTTTGTCAAGCCGATACAAAAGGTAAAAGGCGAGCCTGCATCCTCGTAAAGAAGAACCTTAAGCTCTTTTTGCTACCTAATTTTAGCAATGAAGATTAAGGTCCAAAGGGACCTCTAAGGATATGCACCCGCTTCTCAAACAGCTGGTGGAAGACAGCGAAAAGCAGAAGATCGACCGCATTATAGGGTGCGACGCCAACGCGCATCGATTCATGGAACTAGTGGTCAATTTCGAGCACTTCACTCGGCTAGCAGTACGCAATCCTAGGAAAGCAAACTGGAAGCCCTACAAGAAGAAACTAGACAGATTCTTTGGGAATCCTCCAGCAAGGGACGTTAACCACGGGGAAGCCCTGGAAATGGTTGGCACGATAACGGCGGCTTGCGCCAGGGCATTCAATAGGTACTGACCCAAAAACAGATCGGACAGTAGCAAGTCCAAGAAACCACCATGGTGGTCACAAACACTTGCGTCTTTTAAAATCAAGGTCGGGCCTTGAAAATACCTTTAACTTTGGTAGTAGGGCAAACACAGAAGGAGCTTGGGAGGCGTATAAAGCGGATCCCAGCTACCCCATACCGAGCCAGCTCGAATACCTCCTAAGTAATAGGAATTTCAGTTGGGCGATAAACAGTTTCAAGCCCTTTATATCTCCAGGTCTAGATGGCATATTCCCGGCCCAACTAACTAAATCCGGGTCCAATCTGTGGTTATGGATTACAAAAATATCCACAAAAATCTTCTTCATACCCAAAGCGGGAAAACCATCGCACTGCTCCCCTGAGGAATTCGGACCAATAAGTTTGTCGTCCATCTTCCTCAAGACAATGGAGAGTCTTATCAGCCTCCACATTCATCTCACAATTAACCCAAATGATATTTCGGGATCACAGCATGCGTATAGGAAGGGCCAATTCACGGAGGCGGCTCTTCACGAGATCACTAAGTACATCGGAAATTCTCGTAGACATAGGAGGTGCGTTTGACAACATCCTGCTATGGGTAGACGATCAATCCGTGTTCCTAATAAGGTAGATCCCAATAAACAGGACTGTTAAAGCGACACTAGGAGGAGAGTCTATTCAAAGAATCGTCAGGAGAGCCATTTCGCAAGGAGGTGTACTCTCCCCCTTCTCTGTAACGTGGCGGTTAACAACCTACTGCGATCCCTAGAAGGTGGTGGATGCAAAGTTATTGTTATATGCGGATGATGTCGCAATATGCGGATGTGACGGACAAACTGAGGGTTCTCTCAGCATAGGCAGATAAGAACAGGCTAGGAGTAAATCCGTCCAAGACCGAACTTGTCCTCTTAACGCCAAGTACCTAGGTATAACGCTAGACGCTAAGAATTTCGCTAGAAAACTTACGCTAAAAGACTTCATACTCGATCTATTACCTGTACAGATATTGGGGGTCAAAATAGCTGTGGACACACCAAGTTGGACTTATATCGTTTCACGCCTATGGGGGCTACAGACTACCTATCGATCGTCCATCATCCCACCTAAAACTATAAGGTCTCCATTCCATCGAGGGAAGAATGGCCTGGTGGGAGACGATTTCCACTGCGAGCGGCTGTGAGTCCTTCATACTCCGGCAATGAGCGACTCTCAGAGTTATTGACGAATTTTCGTCCAACTCTAGGACAGTGAATGACTTTCGCAGATCTCTTCACGAGATGGCGGAGCAGCATGACATCCACCTCAAATGGGTGCCCGGACATAGGGACCACAAGGGAAATTACGCCGCTGATGAATTAGCAAGGGCGGGTACTACCAACCCTCTTCTCCCGGAGAAATAACTGTAGGCATCACCTTAACAACATGCAGACTGAGATGCAGGGATCACTTCGACCTGGTAGCACAGACGAAATGGAATAGTCTCCAGAACTGCAGAAATTCACGCATAATATGGCCCACTCGCTCTAGAAAAAGATCAATGATGCTTTCGCTCCGGCGTAGTTGACTCGAACTCCTGGCTGCAGCAACACTTACGGACCTAACAGATCTCACGGAGATCGGTCCATGCAGACTCATTGCCTTCATCCGGGATCATCAAACTGGATGGGACCGCGAGCCGCCTCAGGAAGGGTAGAACTCTTTGGACACTTTAGGAGATAGGAAGGGGCGGGGTCCCCTTGGAGGACCCCTCTTGCCCATGCGGTATCACAAGGAGCCTCAGCGTCTCAAGTGGATTCGGGAGGCAATGACTAGCGACCCGCCGCCTCAACCTAAACAAACCTAAGCAATATTTAACTCATAAAACAGATTTTTCTGCTGGGAATCGAATCCACAACCTTCTGATTAAGAGGTAGAAAACTTAACCATTAAGTCATGCGTTGCGCGAAAAAAAATTTTGAATGCCTAGAAAACTATTGAGATTATAAATTCAGTATCAGCAAAGGGTCGGGAGAATTGGTTTGCCTACGTTGTTATTTAATAATTTTTTTTGTTTTTTAAACAAAACAAGAAAGGAAAGGTAACTTCGGGCGGAGCCGAAGTTGATATACCTTTGCAGTTAAAACCGGATATATATCGCAAACATCGGATATAGTTGGCCGATC